CTTATTAGAGTTGAGACACAAAGACCACTAAACACAGCTCTTGCTAGTCTGATGTGGTGGCCCAGCCCTATCGTCTCTGTTTAACTCCTTCGCACACTGAGATGCCTTTCTGTCGCCTGCAAACAAGCTCTTTTGCATAATTGTCACTGATGGTTATGCAGCCAACTAATACAACAACATGTAATTATTTAATAATTATGATTTGTGTAACACTTAAAGGAAAGCATGAGGCTTTATGTGGAAGTGCTCTTAAAGCTGTAAAGGTGTATGCAATCCCAAAGGATTATTTTTGAATTGCTTCTACATGGCAGGATACTTTGCAGTCACTACATTTCCATGCTGTTTTACCATCAGTGAGGCCAGACATTCTCATTTTCCACATCCAAGATTTTCCACTTCCCAATTATGGGATTGCAGATCGATTTCCTGAACCTGACCCAGCTTCCACATTTAGTTTTCCTTACCTCCCCACCAGACTTAAAATCCAAGAAGAAAAGCATGCTGTTCGCTGACTGTTCTGTTGCCCGTGCCTAGCATATGGTGGGCACTGAATAATTTCTGTGAATGAATGACCCTCATTGGCCTTGCCTTCAGTCTTCTAGTCTATCCCACAGTGCATCAGCATTATCTTTAGAAGTGAGTCTGCTTGGTCTTATACACACTCCCAAAACCTCCAGGAAGTCTCCATTGCCTGCATAAACTCCTGAATATTGTATTCAAGCTCCACCACCATCTAGTTCCAAACCACCTTCCCAGACCCATGTCCTACCCCCTTTTCTCCCTTCCCTTTCAGCCACCAAATGACCCCAGACACACCAGGCAGGCTCCGTCACGTGTCTGTACTTAAGCTAGCCCCTTCCACCTGGAGTGACCTTCTTTTACCCCCCTTATCTGTCATCTGGAATTTCACTTATCCTTCAAAAAGCAGCTCAAATGTCACCCCTTCTTACACTTTTCCTAATTCCTCTAGCGGTCTCTTGGGTGCTTGCATATAACTTGACTTCTAAGTCCCTTTCTGCACAGTCCCTGTTATTCCACAGTTTTTCCCCCAAACCAAGTTCCTTCAGAACAAATACTGAATCTGACCATTACTAAGCATCTCCCAAATCTATTCACTGCTTCCCCCTCTTACTGTTCTAGTCTCAGCCACTGCCACCTTGCACCTGCACCATGGACTGGTTCCTGACCTGTTCCCGTATTTCCACACTTGCCTTCCAGCAGCTGACCTGCAAAACAGCCAGCCCACCTTTACTAATGTGAACAGTCATACACTGCTGCAGCCCTGCCAACCCACTCCCGTCTCTCTTCACTCCTAGAAGAAACCCAAAGCCCTTGAGTACACCAGGCTCCTGCCTCCCTCCCCGGCTTCCTCTGTGCCACCTCCCCTCCTGCTCACTCCAGTCCCCCTCTCTCCTTGATCCTGCCAAGCTCTTCCCTCCTTAGGACCTTTGAATATCTTCTCTCTGCCAGAAAAGCTCTTCCCCCAGATATATACATGACTTGCTCTTTTACTTCATTTTGGTTTCTGATCAGATGTTCCCTCTGCAGAGAGGCCTTTCCTAGTCACTGTCTAAAATAGCACCCTTCAAGCAGGCGTTTGGCACGGCAGTTAAAACACCACCATCCCATATTGGGGTGCCTGAGTCAAAGTCCCAGTTCCACCTTTGATTCCAGCTTCCTGCTGATGTGCACCCTGGGAGGTAGCAGGTGATGGCTCAAGTAGTTAGGTTTCTGCTGCCTACCTGGAAGACCCAGATTGAGTTCTGGGCTCCTGGCTTTGGCTTGGCCCAGCCCCCACTGTTGTGGGCATTTGGGGAGTAAACCAGTAGATGGGAGATCTCTTTCTGCCTGCCTCTCTCTCTGCTTTTCAAATAAATTAATTAAATACATAAAATTACGCCCTTCATTAAGCCCTACCCTCTTATCTGATCCCTTCGTGGCACTAAACATCACTAGTTTCCTTAAAAAATATTTATTTATTTACTTATTTGAAAGTCAGAGTTACACAGAAAGAAGGAGAGGCAGAGAGAGAAGTCTTCCATCCACTGGTTCACTCCCCGATTGGCTGCAATGGCCAGAGCTGCACTGATCTGAAGCCAGGAACCAGGATCTTCTTCTGGGTCTCCCACGCGGGTGCAGGGGCCCATGGACTTGGGTCATCTTCCACTGCTTTCCCAGGCCATAGCAGACAGCTGGATCAGAAGAGGAACAACCGGGACTAGAACTGGCACCCATATGGGATGCTGGCGCTTCAGGCCAGGACTTTAACCCACTGCGCTACAGCGCCGGCCCCCACCATTAACTTTCCACACGTATATTTGTTTATTTGTTGCCTACATTTTGTTTGCCACCATGTCCTTGGTACCTAGAACAGTGCCTGGCAGATAACAGGCATTCAAGTACTTGTTGAATGAATGGGCAAGTCTTCGTATCTTATGAATACAGAAAGAATGCATTTTACACATGAGGTGGAATCCTGGTGTGGATCCAGGATGACCCAGGGCAGAAGTGCAGGTGTTCCGTCCATTTGTTCTGCGTAGTTTTGGTTTATTCAGACATCTTAGGCGATATAACTAAGTTCTTCACTGTTTTTCAGGTACAAGTTGCTGACAGAGGTCTTGCCCAAGAATATTTAGTGGATTCCAAAAGGTAACCAAGAGTGGCACAGCATGGATTTGGAACAGCGGTCACGGCCCCGCCTCTCGGGAGCTCCTGCGGGATTCTGATAAGGTACTTTATCTCCTGTGATTTATATTGAATGCACAGTTGTTGTTAATCCTGCCAAACACTGATTATCCTGAGGGCTGGAGTAGGTAAGATGCTGACTGACCTCACACTCCTCAGTGGACAGTGCAACGAGGCTTCAGGGTGCCCCCGTGTTTACACTTGAGGAACCCAAGTGGCTCTGCTATGGGAGCCCAGCCCCTTCCAGTCACTGAGCTGGGAACAGTCTGCCATACTTTCCTGGTTCACTGTGGCTTCCGGGCAGTTGCTTCCCCTGCCCATCCCATTTTTCTTAACTCCTTGTATATGGGTACATAAAGGTACAGAGAAGGGTGAGCCCTTGCATGAGGTGTGATATTGGCACCCTGTCTGTCTGTCCTTGTAATGAGCCCAAGCATTGACCAGACTGTGCATGGTACAAGGGCCAGTGCCCAGAACAGGGGGAGGGCTTGGGCTCTAATTGCGAGCACCCCATGGTAGATGGGGTGTCGTGGGTGTACAAGGCCCGGAACTGCATGTGTGCCCCGGCCTTTCACGCGCCTGGTGTCATCCCATGTTAACGAGGAGTCAGTGATGACTGTCCTCTGCATTTTACACTAGAGGAAAACAAGGCTCAGGAGGTCGGTGCCACTTGCCCAAGCTACCCAGATGCTAAGCCGCAAAGCTGGGATTTGAGATTCCAACTGTGTGACTCCCTGGCTGCCTCCCAGGAGGCTGCCTCTCCAGCATCTAGAAGGGGGTGGAGGTGAGTGGAGGGGTGGCCTTGCTCCTCACCAGGTAGTACAGCCAGCTGCTACCGGGCTTCTGCTCTGAAATTTACCAGGGTCGACCTAGTTCCACTGCGCACTGTCCGGAGGGGATGGAGGGGCTCTGTAGAGTGGCGCCTTCCCTCTCCGACCATGCTGGCACCCGCGTTTGTGTGGAGAGCTGGTGCCACAGAGCGCCTTTCCTCCTCTGGTCTCTACTTCCCTGCGCACCTCTCTCTCTCTCTCTCTCTCTGCCCCCCCTTGCCAAAGTTGTACCCCCTGGGGACTGCAGCCTGCCTAGCTTTCTGGAGGTTCCGGGGCACCGTGGGGGCTCCAGGATGATGAAGGGCATTGAGGGCGCTACCAGGGTCTCCGCCTCTTCGGGGCCCTTCGCCAAGCCCCTTCCCTCGCGCTCCCGGCTCCGTGCCGCAGCGCCCCCCTCGCCGCCAGGGGCCGCCCGGAAGCGGGACTCCCCGAGCGCGGGGCGGGGCGAGGGGCGGGGCGCGGCGGTACCTGGGCCGCCCGGGAGTCGGGGGTGGGCTCTCGGGGGACAGCGGCAACCCCCCAGATCTGCACCGCCAGCCGCCGGGAGCTGAGGGCTCCGGGCGCAGAGGCTGCGCTGTCACATGGGCGGCGGCGACGGGGCCGCATTTAAGCGGCCGGGGGACGGCGCCCGCCTCCAGCGCGTCCTCGGGCTTGGCTCCCGCCGGGCGCCCAGCTCGCTGCCCGCCGGGGGGCCCGCGCCGCGCCGCACCGCGCCGCCCCCGCCGGGCCATGCGAGCGCGGGCCCCACCGCGATGAGCTCGCACATCGCCAAAAGCGAGTCCAAGACGTCGCTGCTGAAGGCGGCGGCGGCCAGCGGGGGCAGCCGGGCTCCCCGCCACGGCCCTGCCCGGGAGCCGGGACTGCCCGGCCGCCGGCTGCCCGTCGCCTGCCCGAGTACGCCGCCGCCGTCCGGGGACCCCAGTTCGCGGAGGCCCCTGTGCCGACCTGCGCCGCGGGAGGAGGGCGCGCGGGGGAGCCGGCGTGGGCTCCCCCAGGCGCACTGCAGGCCCCGGGAGGCGCTGCCGGCCGCGGCGTCCCGACCTCCGCCGCCGTCGCCGCTGCCGCCGACCCGCGGGCGGGATGGGGAGGAACGGGGGCTGTGCCCGGCGCTCGGCCTCCGGGGCTCTCCGCGAGCCCCGGGTCGCGGGGACTCGGCTCCGGCCGCCGCGTCCGAGTCGGACCCATTCCTCCACCGGCTGCGCCCCATGCTCAGCTCCGCCTTCGGCCAGGTAAGGGCCGCGCCTCCCGCCCGCGCTCCCAGGAAAGGCGCTCGGGACCCTACCGCCGCCGCGCGTCCACCGGGCCCCCGGGTCACGCCTCCGCTTACCCGGTGCTTCCTGGCCCGTCGCCCTTGTGGGCGCCGCTCGGCTGCCGTGCCTGATTCAGCACCCTGTGCGCTGTCCACGCTCCGCTCCGGCCTCTCGCCGCAAGGCACCGCCGCCCAGCTGCTCTCACACCTGCGGAAACGGCCTGCCCTGGTAGGGAGCGACCTCCACAACTCTTCTGGGGATTTGCCGGTGGTCAGAGGGGTGTCGGAGCAGGTGGCGCCAAACCCACTCCCCTTAGCCGATTCCTCCAGGGAGCAGCCCAAGAGGGCAAACCATAAGTGTGGAGTCTGGAGGTCAAGAGAGGGAACCTTAGGGCACACAGACTTACTGGGGGATGAGGGACCCTAGCCTTTGCCTACATTATCTCCAAAGGCCTGGGAAAAGTTAGCAGATTAAACATTTGAGGAAAGAGAAAGGGTGTTGGATAGGCACGGAGGGGCTCTCCAGAGCTCTGGATCAGACTGGAACTTCCGGATGTTTCAAGGAGGTTGTCACCCCAAGGATGCCATTGGGATGGCAGCTGGCAGTGGCCAAGTCGTAGGATGTGGAACAACCCTCGGAGAACTCTAGCCTGAGTTGGAGTGCATTCTGGGGCCAGAAAGGCCACCAAGCGGTCACCAGCGGCTCCCAGGTAGCTGGGATCTGCCCTTGAAAGGCAGCCGTGTAATCGCAACCTGGGTCTACAGCTGGGGGAGAGGAGCCTGCGAACTCGTGAGCATGGCCAGGGTTTCCTCAAGTCAGAGTCGCGGGCACGGCCTGGAGTCCATCCTGCGGCAGGCAGCCCGGGAGCGTGAACCGCAGAGGTCTGACCAGGTGTCGGCGTGGTTTGTTGTGGAAGATGTCGGGATCTGGCATAAAGAAGCTGTCTCAGGCTCCTGGCTTGCCACCCTGAATCAGAATCCTAAGGAGGCCGTATGTGTTTGGCTTCAGATCTGCACTTTTCTTTTCAAAAAAACCTGCACTGCACTGGCTGATGCTGGCGGTGGTCTGACATGAAGGCAGCCGCACATGGATTCGGGTTGCGTGGGGCTGCTGTGTAGTGTGAGAGGGCAGTGTGTGTGGCTTTGTTCCTGCAGGGAGCCCTCGTTAGCTGAGTGAGCTGGAAACAGTTCTCCCGGAGTAGAGATTTGGATGCAGAGCTGTGAGAGTGCGGCAATGCTGAGAGGAAGTTCACTGTAGTGCGTGTTAGCGAGGTGTAGCGTGTCAGGGCAGGAGGGGTCTGTGGCCGGGGGCTGGGGTGCAACAGGAATGCTCTGTTGTTGGATGGGTGACAGCAGTTCGTCTGTTTATCGGATGTTTCTTGAGCACCTGTTTTGCCCAGGCGTTTGCTGCATAGTAGAGACACATCAATGAACAGGTCGGCAGAGTTCTGACTCTTTCAGAGCCTGCAGTCTGGCAGTTTGGAAGTCCCTGGCCCACAGTCACACGCTTTTCTGGTTCTTCAGCTTGCGGGGGATCTGACTTGGCTCCCGGTGGCAGAGCCCTTTCTTTCCCGTCTTGCAGAATTTGCCTGCACGGACGCCGTCTCAGCTCAGAGCATTTCAGCAATATGCTGTTGTTCCTCCTCTCACTTAGTCATGGGATGAAGGCTGTTCTGCAGCCCAGTGTTCTGAAATGTCACCAGGGTCACCTGAGTCAGGAGGAACTGGAAGGTCCCATCAAATATTTACTACCTCCCCCTGCAAGCTCTTGCCTCCAGAGCTGCAGGCTGCTGCTTCCAAGCCCTGCACATTCAGTTTGGGCTTCCTGCTGACACTTCCAAGGCATCTGCTTCAACAGCAACAACAAGCCCAGGCTGGGACATGTGCGTCAGTCTCTGGCTCCTAGGACAGAGGAATTACTCTTTCCTTCTCTTCTCTCTGTCCCAAGATTTCTGTCCTTAGAAATGGAATTGAGACCAAGGAAGAAAAATGGGGTTCCGAATACAACAACTTCTGGATAGAATTTTCTTAGAGTAAAATATAGCTCTGGGAAAACATATGTGTGTATATATATTTCCCCACGGCTCTGTGTGGATATATATTTATACACACATGTACATATATACACATACATATAGATAGATGTATACACATACATAGGTATGCATTTTATACTGATAAGTACATATTTTAAATTTTAATTGATACATAATAATTGTACAGTATGACATTTTAATACTAGTATACAGGAAATATATTTTCCATGTCTCCTGAGTTCAGTTTTTTAAAATCTCAAATGAATTGCTTAACCTCATCAGATGTTTTGCTTTACATGTAATATAGGGATAGCCACAGTTTCTCAACCATATGTTTGGGAGATGAAAGGAGATGAAGAGATATGTGTCAAGCTTGGCCTAGGGCATGGCATAGAGCAAGGGCTCTGTCGGTGTTAGTTATTATTATTCTTGTTCTTGTTGTTGATTAGCCACCAGGGGCTGCTTCTTCCTGTTTGAAACATAGCCAGGGAGAGCCAGGGTTCTGAGTGGCACCGAAGGTACCAAGCTAGACTCCTAATTTAGGGGACACAGGTAATAAGACTCTCCCAGTGACCTCCTGGAGCCTCCTTACTGCCTGCAGGGTGTAAGCGCGGGTCTTAAGTTCAAGGCTTGAAGTGGTGGCTTGGAAGATAGCAGAGCTGCTGGTTCTGATCCCAGTTCTGCCACTGTCTATCTCTGTGACCTTGGGCGTGTTATCCTCTCTCTGTGATCTTCGTTTATTCATCCAAAAATGAGATTGACAAAACAAACAAGCAAACAAAAACCTTGCAGAGTTACTATGAGGCTCACACAAGATGAAGATTATCAACACACCTGTTTCATGGTGGGTGCTGGTTAAAGGGCAGCATTCATTAATGTTATTGTTATTGTTGCTATTAATAGAGCGATTGCCTAAATGAGGGCCTATGTAAGGTACTTTGAAAGCTACCTGTGAGCCAGCTGAGGAAGGTTATTAAAAAAGGGAGCGGGGCCGGCGCCGCGGCTCACTAGGCTAATCCTCCGCCTAGCGGCGCCGGCACACCGAGTTCTAGTCCCGGTCGGGGCGCTGGATTCTGTCCTGGTTGCCCCTCTTCCAGGCCAGCCCTCTGCTGTGGCCCGGGAGTGCAGTGGAGGATGGCCCAGGTGCTTGGGCCCTGCACCCCATGGGAGACCAGGAAAAGCACCTGGCTCCTGGCTCCTGCCATCGGATCAGCGCGGTGCGCCGGCCGCAGCGCGCCAACCGCGGCGGCCATTGGAGGGTGAACCAACGGCAAAAAAGGAAGACCTTTCTCTCTGTCTCTCTCTCTCTCACTGTCCACTCTGCCTGTCAAAAATTAAAAAAAAAAAAAAAAAAAAAAAAAAAAAAAAAAAAAAAGGGAGCGGACCACTTCTGATCCAGCTCCCTGCTAATGCACCTGAGAAAGCAACAGAAGATAACACAAGGACTTGGGCCCCTGTACCCATGTGGGAGACCTGGATGAAGCTCTTGGCTTCTGGCTTTGGGCTGGCTTAGCCCTGGCTATTGCAGCCATTTGAGAAATGAATCAGTGAATAAAAATCTCTCTCTTGTCCCTCCCTCTCCATCTCTGCCTTTCAAATAAATAAATCTTTAAAAAGAAGAAGGAGAAGGAGGAAGAGGAGGAGAAAGGAGCTGACTGTCAAAGGACCTTCCCTTGTCCCCTCTTAGTAAACAGCTAAGGACATGCCACCTAGCTGCCTAGAGAGGAAATGTGTTGTCAGAAATTAACTCAGAAATGACCTGAGGCTTTGAGTTTTGGAAGACTGTTTTATGAACGGGCTTTCCTCTTCCTGCCCTAACGTTGAGGAGAAATAGCCCTTGTAAAGGATGCGAATGCAGATAAAACCCACAGCTCTGTCTCATCTTCCCACATTCCCAGCTCTAGGGGCATCTCGTGTGTCTCTTTGGATTTGGATAGACTGGCCTGGTTCCCATACTGCTTTGTGCGTAGTAGAATCATGGTATTTTATTTTTATTTATTTGAAAAGCAGAGAGACACAGAGAAATAGACAGTCAGAGATCTCCCATCCACTGGTTCACTCCCCAGATGCCTGCAACAGCCCAGGGTAGGACAGGCAGAAGCCTGGAGCTTGGAGCTCAAACTGGAACACTCAGTTGGGTGGCAGGGACCCAAGTCCTTGAGCTATCATCTACTGCCCCCTCCCAGGGTGTGCATTAGCAGGAAGCTGGAATCAGAAGCAGAGCTGGGAATCGAACCCAGACACTTCTGGTATAGAATGAGATGTCCCAAGCAGTGTCTTGGTGGCTATGCCAGATGTGCACTCCAGATCACAATATTTAATGAGGGAATGAATGAATGTTGTTACCAGCTTCTGGACCTCAGGGGTTTGTTAGTTGCTATGGCTTAGTTGAGGAGAGAGAAACCGTGATGGTTCGAGTCCTAATGGATTCAGTCGCACGAGGCCTGTGTTCCTAGCATGAGGTCTCTGTGTATTCCTCACTCCTGCCCACATCCCTCTGAGAGGACACGGAGGAGTCTCCGCTGCCTTCCCTCTGGGGCCTGGGTGTGGCTTGCTGTCAGCTGTGGGAGAGCACTTCTGGCTGTCTACATTTGCCTCCAGCTGTCTCAGCATTCTGCACCTGTCCAGAGTCCACTACACCACTGAGGAAGCAGTGTCTTCTCATTATTTTATCTTCACAGCAACCTGTGAAAATTGGCATTATCGGCCCCTATTTCAGAGATGAAGAAACAGGCCCAAGAGAGGGGAAGTGACTTGTCCAAAGGTCACACGATAAGTAAATGGCAGGGCTGTGCAAGGGAGCTGAGGTCTGTTTATCTCCAAACTACACCTGCCTCTGTGCCTCACGCTGGTCCCTGGTCCAGCGGGAAGCCGCATATGCACGTCATTCCCTATTGTCTAAAGTGTCTCATGTTACGACCCAGCCTCCCCAAGTACCTTAGCACTGGGCTGTCATCCAAGTTCAGATGCCTGCGGTAGACCTGCTCAGAACGGAAGGTGAGCCTACCGCTAATCAGGAATAATCAGCAATGGGCTTATCCTTCTCATCCCTCTGATCCTATTATTCCGTTCCAGAACTCGAATTGTGGCTTCCAGAGACTGGAGGAGATAAGGAAAGGGGTAGGGCCATGTGATGGTTCACTCCTTAGAGGAGTCCCCTACCGTTTGCCCTTCTTACATGTCCTACTGAAGGTCGGGCCAACTGCTCCATGCCCACCTGCCCAGCTCAAGATAAAGTGAGCCCTAAAGCAGCAGATATAAACCCTTGGATCTCTCACTTCCCTTAAGTCTTAGGCCAGTGTCAGCCCCTTACCCCACCACTACCCCAAAGCAGGGTGGGATTTTGGTTTTTCTGGCCCCTGTCTCCTGTTTTCAAAGACAGGCATATGTATCTCAAGGTCAGCAAGTGGGTGCTGTGCCCTGAGCTGGCCTGCAGGGGGCAGGAGTTACCAGGTCTGACTCCATGCCCTCCTGAATGAATGGTTGCCGCAACTGACCCTTTGAGATCAGTGCTACGGGGTGGGCTTTGTGGTGAAGTGGGTTAAGCGCCTGCATCCCATGTCGGAGTGCCAGTTTGAGTCCTGGTTATTCCACTTCTGACCCATCTTCCTGCTAATGAATCCTGGGAGGCAGCAGATGAGGGTGGAAGTGCTGGGGCTGCTGCCACCCACATGGGAGACCTGGATGGAGCTCCTGCTGCTGACTTTGGCCTGGGCCAACCCTGGCTATTGCAGGCATTTGGGGAGTGAATCCGTGGATGGATATCTTTCCCTCAACCTCTCCTCCCCCCATTGCTCTGCCTTTCAAGTAGATGAAAATGAATAAACATTTAAAGCCTGTGCTGGGCAAGAGAAAGGGGCACTTAAAAAAAAAGATTTATTTATTTATTTGAACACAGAGAGGCATAGAGAGAGAGAGAGAGAGAGAAGAGAGAGAGGTCTTCCATCTGCTGGTTCACTCCCCAGATGGCTGCAATGGCCAGAGCTGCGCCGATCTGAAGCCAGGAGTCAGGAACTTCTTCCAGGTTTCCCACGTGAGTGCAGGTGCCCAAGCACTTGGGCCATCTTTCACTGCTTTCCCAGGCCATAGCAGGGAGCTGGATCAGAAATGGAGCAGCTGGGACTCAAACCAGTGCCCATATGGGATGCTGGCACTGCAGGTGGCAGCTTTACCCACTATGCCACAGTGCCAGCCCCCAGGGGGCACTTTTTAGGTGCCTGGCAGTACGCCAGGCCTTTTCAGGCCTCATCTCATGAAATTCTCCTGAGAGCCCTAGGGAAACTGCTATTAGAATCCTCATTTCATAATGGATGAAACTGAAGCTCAGAAGGATCAACCAGTCCTCAAGTTCACATGGTTACCAAGCTGCAGGGCAAGATTTGAAACTGAGTTACTCGGACTGCATGCCAAGTGCTGAAGCCCTGTGGCTCTCAACAATGGCTGCAGGTTAGAATTCCCTGGGAGGTGTTAAGCAACACCTAAACTTAGGAAATCAGAATTTCGGGGAAGCTCTCCTGGTCTACAACCAGCATTGAGAACTTCTGCCTATTTAGTTCGTTTGTAATCGGGTTTGTGCCTGGCACCTACCCCTCTGGGGTCCCTGGTGGGCCCCATTTTTCCAGACGAGTCCGCAGATGGTCCATTTTCTATATTTTGCCTGCAAGTCTTTCTCGATCCCCCCCAGAGTAAATCAAACCCTGTCTCACATTCTCAGAGTTCATGTGTCTCTTGTTTCTCCCATTTATCTGAAATGTTGTTAAGTAATTGTGTTCCTTGCTCTTACCTCTTGCCTGCCTGCTAGAGCATTGGCCACCACTCTGCCCGGAAGCAGGGCCGTGTTTATTTTGTTCCAGAGCACAGTAAACATTAAACAGTGAGCGTCGGACAGATGAGACTTCTTTCTTCCATGTGAATAATTACTCACGGAGTCCGTATTACATGCCACACATTTTCCGACATATACTTATAAGTCAGATAGGGAAAGCCCCATCTCCCAGCGGAGGAAACCCAAGCTCAGGAATGGGAGGCAGTCACATTGTCAGAGCCAGCAGAGCCCGGGCCTAACCCCAGGCCTCCCCGCCCCTCCCATTCATCGCAGTCAATTGAATCTGACCCCTGGCCCAGACCCGCGGAGTGCTTCCTTGTTGCCCTGTTTCCAAGCTGTGTTCTTTGAAGAAGCCATTTATGTTGGCTGCTGGCTCTTTCTGGTTCAGTGCCCTGGCTTCTTCACCCTCTTTCCTGCCCTTTAGGCATCAACACCCCACCCCCTGGCTCCTCTCTTTCCCAGGGGTGCGGCCCCTCCTTACCCATCTCCTCTAGAATTTTGGCGCAAACAAGGCTGCTGGGTGACTCCCCTGATTAACCCATTCCACGACGAGCAGCGGCTGCTCCACAGTCACCTGTCTTCACTGGGCGCAGAAACTGGACAAAAGCCCTGGGGAGAGGAGTCTGTTGCTGCATCAGGGCCCTGGGAGGAGTCCAGCTTCCCGGTCTATCTCTGGTGCCCCCTGCTGGGCAAAGCTGGTGTGTGGAAACAGGGCCGCTTGGAGTTTCTGGCTTGGGCTCAACTGGAATACCCCAGGCTTCAAGGTGAGAACTTGCAGGGAAAAGCAACAGCCAATCACCAGATGCGTTCTGGCCCAGAGACCTTAAGGAGGGCTTTGTACAGGGCTGCTCCCCTTCTTGGCATCTCAAGGAAGCTGGGAATGAATGCTCGCTCAGCGTCAGGTGGCAGAGGTTTGGAGACCTTGCTTTGGCCCCCTGCACCAGCGCGCTGCCTCCATCATGCCTGCCTCAGGATCATCTCTTGTTTCCCTTGGGGTGGAGAGATTGCACACTGCGCAGAAGACAGCTGTGCGCAAGCCCCGGAGACTCATCCCATTTTAATGGCAAGGCAAGTGTGACAAACGGAGCATGATAGAGTCGTCCACACAAGACCTGCTAGGCGCTCAACTGGAGCTGTCTGCTCTGGTTGCAGCTGGGATTGCCAGGGGGCGGTGAGGATCCGTGCTAGTCCCAAGGACTGCTCTCCATAAGTGGCATTCGTTTCCCTGGGGTCTCATCTGTGCATGCATATGTCTGTGCCTGCCTGTGTGTGTGTGTGTGTGTGTGTGTGTGTATGCATGTGTGCACATACACAAGGCTGCAGACTGTGAGGCACCCTGGCTTTGGGGACCCAAACTAGCCAGCTTCCCCTTCTGGGTCTGTTGGCCTAATTCCCAGCCGCAGCTGCCGCTCCGGTCCCCTCCCTGAGGCAATCGCCCTGCAGATTTGGCAGCAGCAAAAGGAGGGGCTGAGGGAAGGGGAGAGAAGCAGAGAGGACTCAGCTCTAATCTGATGGAGATGATCCGCCAGGCTCCTCCAGCTCAGCCGCCCTCTGCCATCAGCTCTCCGGGCGATTTTCTCTGTGCCCGGCACTCTCCCCTGCTGCCTTCATCTCCTTAAGAAAGTGCCCCGAAAGTTAAACCTAGACACACAAACACACTCACAATCCACCAAAAGGAAAAAAAAAAATCAGAAAGCAAGAGCAGGCAGACGAGTAAGAGAGCACGCGCGCAAGAGAGGGCTCTGCTTGGTCCTGGAGGAAGAGCGGCAGAGGAAGGCAGAGGGAGGCTGGGGTTGGCCGTGACCGGCGCTACGGTCTCCCAGCCCCCCAAGCAGCCTCCTTCATGGACCCCGGGATCCTGAGAGGGGCTGCCTCAGCTTAGGATGGGCAACTGTGTCAAGTCTCCACTGAGAAATCTCTCCAGGAAGGTATGTGCCTGAAGTCTCCGAGATGTGGGGCTGGGAATCGGGCTGTGCTGCCACCTGTCCCAGAGGCTGGGCATGGAAGGGAGAGGCACCCCTTCCCGTGGGTCCTCTCTCAGGCTTTGCTGCTGCCTCCAGAGACGTTCCTTTCACAGTCCTGTGCGTCCCAGGCTCTGAGCAAGGACTTAGAGCTGCCTGGGGGCAAGGCGGCTATGTTTGAGAATTAGCACAAGATTTAGCAAAGAAACTAGGTAGCTCTGGGGCTTTGGGGCCATAAAATGAAAAATGCGGTTCCTTAGATTTCAGGGGCAGAGTCGCTTAGAAGTTCCTTTCCGGCGGCTGGACCGTTCGCGTCCTTTGAGCATCTGTGACCCTCTCTGGCTGGCTCTGCGCCTTCAGAATTGTGGGTGATGCCCCATCACTACTGAAAGGAGTCAAGCAGGGCACCCCTTCTGCGCAGTGGTCTGGAACCAGGTCAGAGGCTCTCAGGTTGGACCAGACTGTTTCAGAGCCCCTTGAGAAACAAGATGCCCAAGAAGTAGCTGGGCAGAGGTGTGTGCAAGCTTTCTGAAGGGGCTTTGTTGCTTACACACAGGGATAATATTCTTCTGCAAGAAGTCCTTTTCAAAAGCAAATGAGTACCTTTAAAGGGTCTTTTGTGCAGGTCTGGGCTCGCATCTCCAGGGTTTTGCTTCTGGCCGGTTCTGCCTGGTCCTCTGTAGTCAGGCCCTGGTCGCAGTTCATATCATTTGAAGGAAGGAGGAGTGCTAAGGATGTTCTCCAGTTCCTCCAGTTTCCAGACACGGAGGCTGAGTGCCACTCAGCTGGGTTGAGTGACTCACTTGCCGTCTCAGCTTGCTAACAGCGCCTCTGCCCTCAGCCCCGTCCTACCTCCTCTGTCAGATCCACAGCCTCTTGATTTGGGACGCCTGGGGCTTTTCTGCTTGTCGTCTTCGTCTTCCTCGTTTGGCTAAGCTGCTCACATCAAATCCCTGCTAATCTTCTCTGTTCCTTGGATCCCTGCAAGGGCTGATTGATTCCCCTGTGCACCTCCCACCTCCATAATCACCATCTTCGTAGAGGTGTCTTCTCCACCAGAGGTGGCCTCTGCAGAGACTGAACTGAATGAGGAGAGGACCACGGGGCAGAAGAGACCTTCGCCTGGGCTCTGTCCAGAACCTAAAGAGCTGAACTTCGGAACAGGAATTGTCCTTTCATACCTTGCCTGTCTTCCCTCACCAGAGCGCGACTCAGGTCTCCTCTTCCCAGCTGTGTGATCTCAGGCAGATTACTTAACCTCTCTGTGCCCTGGTCCCCCTGTCCATCAAGTTGGAGGTACTGATGTCCTCGTCTGAAGGTGATGGGGAGAACTAAATAAAGTGCTGTGCACAGTGCCTGACATACCATACGCCATAGATATTCGTGTCATGGTCAATTCTCCTAATTCATCCACTCTGGATTTTAGAGAAGAGGGAGGGAAGAGGAAAGGAAATAGAGGTTTGAGTCCACGGAGTGAGGTAAAAACTCAAAAAAGGTATTGCAATTCAATGCCACGTTTTTATCTTGGTAGTAGTAATTGTTTTTTACTGAATACGGCGCTCTCTCATTTGCTCTCTGTTTGAAAGAGAAAGGAAGAGGACTCAGAGACAAGAGCCCCCTAAGGTAGCACAGCCGTGATATTTCCAGTAGGTACTGTTAGAGTCCCGTTCCGTTTTCTAGAATCTTCTTCCAGCATCCATGGGGCTTTGTCGATGGTCCCTCGCACAGCGTGAGTCATGGAAGGAGATGGCATTAGGGACACTGGTGAGGACTTAGAGCATCCAGAAGAGTAGGGGACACTGGGCCCTGCACCAGCCCAGGACTGAGACCCTGTTCCGTGTGAAATCAGAGCTGGGCTTGTGTTTTTATTTTTTCCTCTCCAAGAGGCAGCCTCTCCCTTTCTCCTGCTGTCAGTAGCATTATTCATGGATCCCTGAATCTGACCTCAGAGGTCACTGAAACCAAATTCCCACTCCAGGCTGCCATATCTCCCACCCCATTCATTCGTCTTCCCCTGGGATCTCTTCGGTGGGAGGGAGCCGGGCCCTGCGTGCTCTTGGCCAGGCTGGCGTTGTTAGAAAGCGTAGGTCACGAGGCTCGCTGGCCCTTCCTGCTGCCACGCCACCCTCAGGAGGCGGCCCTCGGTGCCAGGAGACGTTGTCAGCCTGTGGGCCGCTGCCCGCTTGGCTTCCCGAGTGATAGCAGGGGAACTGGAAATGGTGCGAGGCAGCTCCAGGTCCTCAGCGGGACAGAACCGGCTGTCAGGTGCCATCGCTGGCCAGAAACGAACGGCAGCCTCCAGGGCCAACTGGTGCCAGGCCCTGTTATGATCAACAGAGGCAGTGGAAATTCCCCAGCCGCCGCTGCTGCTTTCCTCCACGCCAGCCAGGTTCCTCTCCTTCCTTCTCATCTCCTTTCTTATTGGCAGATGCTCCCCCTCTTCCCCTGGAGCCAGAAGTAAATGGCATCGAGCATCCCTTAAGTAACCTCATCATCGTCGTCATCATCATCTTCATCATCATCATCATCATCGTTGTCAGCATTGTGGCAACTTCATTTATTCAGCTCTTACCACGCACTATGCAAAGCACTTCGCGTGCAGTAGCTCACTGATTGCTCCCAAGGATCCTGAAAGGAGACACGATTTCCCCCATTGCACACGGAAGGAATCTGGAACACAGGCAGGTGGTGCGACTGGGGTCACACAGCAAGCAAGTGGCAGAGCCAGAATCTGTCCTCGAGGCCCTTTGAGTCCAAAACCAGCATCTGAAACCATCTCTCATAGCCTGTGCCGCCTGTTGCCTCCTCCTGCCTGGGCTGTGCTCAGTGGGAGCCAAGCCCGTGTGATTTGACCAGAAACAAAAAGGCTGATTCTCTCCCAACATCTCCTGAGAGTCTTGCCTTCAGATAGGGCTCCGCCTGCTCCAGGGCTCCCTCTGATCTGCCCCTCCCAGGCAGGAAGGTTTCTCCTGACCCCGGGGCTGGAAGTCTGAGGGTGCAGGTGAGGCTTTGAAACTTACCTGTTTGGGGTATCGAGCCAGAAGAGGCCCTTGATCTGTCTGACGTCCCCCAAGCTTTGAGATGACCTAGAACTGACCCTCAGTGCTCCCACCGGACTCGAGCCTCGGGCTGGCTTCCTTGGCCTCAGCTCTGAATCGCTGCTTCCCTTCTGGGAGCCTCAAACCTTCTGCTCCCTGCTAAGCCTGGAAGGTGCTCAGGAGGCGGCAAAGCGGTCTCCCCTGTAGCTCCGGTGTGGGGCCTTGAGGACCAGAGGCACAAAGGGACAAGGGGGTGCGGATGGGGTGGTTGGGCTTCCAGCCTGGCAGGAGGCGCTGCTTCTCAATCTTGAGATCTGCTCCTGGGTGTGGACTTCTTTCATCTCGGGACCTGGCAGGAAGTGGAGTGAGTGGGCTGGAGGGTCGGGGTACGGAGCTCTGGGATTCTCAGGTGAACTCCGCTGCAGATCCCCACATGGGGGGAGGCTCCCAGCTCAGGCCTGAGAACTCATGGCCTGGCTCCAGTTCTGGAGAGGTACCGGGCACGTTGGGAGGCGGGGGTCAACTTGAGTGTTGTGTCTGGAGGCTGCTGTTGTCCTAAGGGGAAGGTCTGTGGGCAGGGCTCACTTTTTATAGCTGCGTGGGAACCTACAGGGAGAAGGAGTGGTTGGCTTGGGCCAGGGAGCACAGCTATATTCGGTTAGCAGGGAAGGCCCCTGACAGCCTCAAGGGGGTCCAGCAGGCCAGGCCAGGCAGGGAGCCAGGGAAGGCGGGAGGGAAGAAAAGGAAAACTTCTCAAAGGCAGAGTGTGTCTAGTCTTGAGGTTGCAAACAGGGTGGGCTCCAAACCACAAGATGAGTCTTGTTCGGCCCACCTGTGCTTCAGATCAGATCCTGAGACCCTGGGCTGGAGTTACGTAGTACAGCCCTTCAAGGGGGCACACAATCCCCATTTTGCCTGCTTTGTGCACGTCAACCATGGCACCTGCCTTTGCAGCCTGCAGTGAGTGCCAGCTCTGATTTCCAGCCAGGATCCAAGGTGGGGGGGAGGGTGAGGGTCAGAGTCCCCTTGGGAGCTGAAAAGCCTGACTACCCCAGGGATTGAGCAGGGATGTGGGGAGCATTTTGGAACAAGAGGCTGTGAGTGAGCACTTCCCATCGGTTTTTAGAGTAGAAGCCTCCCTCCCCTGTTTGCTTCTGTTTCTGTGTCAGTGTGTGTGGTGTGTGTGTGCTCCCAATCAAGGATTGGACACTCCGTCTGCTGGACCAATTGGATACCTGGCCCTGTGCATCCTGAGGCCTCTCTGAACCTCGCTGGTTGATGCCCAAGCAACTTCTCTTGAAAAGAGCCCATTCTCGAACCTGGATCTAGGCCAGGGCAAGGAGGGGCCTGTCAGCCAGGTGACGCCCTACCTCTCTTTTGTATTTGCTCGGTGCTGGCTGAAGATGCGCCAGGAAGAGAAGAGCAGCTACATGGTGGTGCAGACGAGCGAGGAGGGGCTGGCAGCCAGTGGCGAGCTCCCAGGACCACTCTTGATGCTGGCCCAGAACTGCGCGGTCATGCACAACCTGCTGGGCCCTGCCTGCATTTTCCTGCGCAAGGGCTTCGCTGAGAACAGGCAGCCTGTACGTAAGTTGGCCCAGTGGAGCCTGCTGAACTTGGCTTCACCGGGCAGGAGGAGGTGCTGGGAAGAAAAAGGGGTTCTATAGATAGCAGCCCCCAGTAGACATGCCTCAAACCCCCAACTTGTGGATCTGGTCTCTCCCACATTTCCCACTCCATGGCTGCAAAGCATGGTAAGTCCACACCCATCAGCAAGCAATAATAATAGGTACATTTTTGTTGAGCACTTACTGTGTCCCAGGCACTGGGCGAAGCGTGTTGATGGATTGCCTCACTTAAGCCCCAGAGCAAGCCGAAGAGGTAGGTACTTATCATCCCCATTTTACAGGGCAGGAGTGGAGTTGGAGGAAGGCTCACAGGCCCGGGTAACACCCAGCACAGGGCAGGGGTAGGGTACAATCTGATTCAGGGGCCTCCTGTGCTCTGTAACAACTGTGGGTACACAGCACTGTCTGGTAGAACTTTCTACACTGATGGAAATATTCTGGAATCTGTGCTGTCCTGTACAGTGGCCATGAGCCACATGTACAATACAAGTAGTATTGACTACTTGAAAGGTGGCTGGTGCAACTAGGGAAGTGAATAGCAGTTTTATTTCATTCTGTTTCAAATTTAAATTGCCACAGGGAGGTGGGTAATAATGATGACATCACAGACACGAACACTTGTAGGTTCAATTTATTGAATGTCACGTGTTTTTATTTATTTATTTATTTTTTTGACAGGCAGAGTGGATAGTGAGAGAGAGAGAGACAGAGAGAAAGGTCTTCCTTTTGCCGTTGGTTCACCCTCCAATGGCCGCTGCAGCCAGCACGCTGCGGCCGGCGCACCGCGCTGATCCGATGGCAGGAGCCAGGTGCTTCTCCTGGTCTCCTATGGGGTGCAGGGCCCAAGCACTTGCATTCCCGGGCCACAGCAGAGAGCTGGCCTGGAAGAGGGGCAACCGGGACAGAATCCGGCACCCCGACCGGGACTAGAACCCGGTGTGCTGGCGCCGCAAGGCGGAGGATTAGCCTGTTGAGCCGCGGCGCCGGCTCGAATGTCACGTGTTAACAATACATACTTTGTTTCATGAGACGCACAGAGGCCCTGTGAAGTGGGTACTGATGTTAACCCATTTTATTTTTTATTTTAAAAAGATTTTTTTTTTGACAGGCAAAGTTAATGAGAGAGAGAGAGAGAGACAGAGAAAGGTCTTCCTTCTTCTGTTGGTTCACCCCCAAGTGGCCACTACGGCTGGTGCGTTGCGGCCAGCGCGCTGTGCTGATCTGAAGCCAGGAGCCAGGTGCTTCCTCCTGGTCTCCCATGCGGGTGCAGGGCCCAAAGACCTGAACCATCCTCCACTGCCCTCCCTGGCCACAGCAGAGAGCTGGACTGGAAGAGGAGCAACCGGGACAGAATCCGGCGCCCCAACCGGGACTAGAACCCCGGGTGCTGGTGCCGCAGGTGGAGGATTAGCCTAGTGAGCCACGGCGCCAGCCTAAAAAGATTTATTTATTTATTTGAAAGTCAGAGTTACACAGAAAGAGAGAAGGAGAGGCAGAGAGAGAGAGAGAGAGAGAGAGAGAGGTCTTCCATCCGCTGGTTCACTCTCCAACTGGCCACAATGAACGGAGCTGCACCGATCCAAAGCCAGGCGCTAGGAGCTTCCTCTGGGTCTTCCTATGCGGGTGCAGGGGCTCAAGGACTTGGGCCATCTCCTACTGCTTTCCCAGACCATAGCAGAGAGCTGGATGGGAAGTAGAGCAGCTGGGACTCAAACCGGCGCCCTTATGGGATGCCAGCACTGCAGGCAGTGGCCTTACCTGCTACTCCACAACGCCGGCCCCAACCCATTTTATGGATCAGGAGATTGTGGATCAGAAAACAGAAGTGACTTGCCCAATGTCTCACATCTAGGAAGTGGCAGATCTGGGCTCTCTCTGGCTGTAGGGCCCAAGCCGTTTTCCCAACCACCTGATTTGAGGAGAAAGGAATAGGTTCCATTGCCACGAGACCTCCTGAGTTGGTACACACAGCTGCCCCGTCCCCTTAATGACCACCCTGATTGTCCTCCAGTGCCTGGCACACATAGCCTACTGCTCTGTGGAAGGAAGGTTGTGACCCAGGGACCAGCAAGGGCTCAGCAGCCGGCTCTTCCACAGGTGCGCTGTGAAGAGTTCTGGCTTTGCTGCTCCTTGGACTCTTGAGTATCCAAGCAAGAGCAGGGGGGTGGGTAGAGGCATGGTGGGGGTGAGTAGTGCTCATCCCTTCTCAGTCCTGCAGGACTGGGTCCTGGAGAAGGGGCAGGCACTTGAAGCCTGATGGGTGGGGGAGGGCTTGTTATGGCTAAGTAGTAGCTGGGCCTAGTGAGTGTACTTGGTGCAGAGGTGCACCCTCGTATGCACTGAGCCCTCCCCAGCCACAGCTGCCCCATCTGCAGATACAGCCAACTGCAGACCCAAAATATCTGAAAAAGCATTGCATCTGTACTGAACACACACAGACTTTTTCCTTGCTGTTATGTGATGCAAGTCATTGCACAGCATTTACATTGTATTAGGGATTACAAATACTCTAGAGGTGATTTAAGGTATGTGGGAGGATGAGCATTCTGTAAGGGGCTTGAGCATCCGTGGATGTTGTAATCATGGGGGTCCTGGAACTGATCCCCCATGGATACCAAGGGACCGATGTGTTCACGTACTTGCTTTCCCTTACTGGAGGAAAGATGTTGCAAACAAAGTCCTTTTCGGTCCCCCAAGAACATCTAGGATCACAGTGTTCTGCCTTGGAAAGGTAGAGACAGATCCTGGCACCCATGCGCTGATGAGCTTCCTTTTTTTTTTATTTATTAATTTTATTGCATTGAGAGGTCAATACTCACACACATAACACAGAAAAGAAGACATCTGGAATACCCTGGCACTCCCCCAAATGCCCGCAGCAGCCAGGACCAGGCCAGGCTGACGCCATGAGCCAGGAATTCCCTGTGGGTCTCTCATGTGAGTGACAGGAATCCAACCACCTGAACCATTGCTGGCTGCGTCCTAGCCTGTGCATTAGCAGGAAGCCGGAATCAGGATTTGAACCTGTGCACTCCAATACGGGGTGTGATGGCGTCTTCATTGCTGCACCCAGCACCTGCCTCTGATGAGCTTTCTGAGTGGAAGTCCACACACTCCTCTCAGAGAGACATGTATGCTGCTGAAAGACCAGCTGGAGGACCTGGGAGCCTGTGGCCTACGTGTTCCAAGGTCACACACACTCGGCACTGTCTGACCAAGTGTAGCCGCCTCTGAATTCTGGGTCCTGTGCTCCTGGTTGTCCCATAAGATGTTGCTCTGTAGTTCCTTCCCTTTCTGGACAACCTGCAGCTTTGTTGGTGCTGGTGTCCCTTGCCCAGGGGTGGTGTGTGTGGAGTGGGTGGGCAACTGCACGTGCCCCACTCTGGCCCTGTTGTCTGGGACAGCCGGTGTGCAGCGTGCACAGCCGAGATGCCTCACACTCACTGGGGCATGCCTGCTGTCTGTGATCATGATGGTGTGCCCGCACCTGCATGAGCCTCCTCAGGGCAGGCACACCCTGCCTCCTGGGCTCCCTGCCCAAAGGCCGAGAGCTGGAACACTGTGTCCAGCTTGGGAGTCTATGAACCAGGCTCAGGCGGGCACTGGATCTGTTCTGTGCCAGTCCGTCTCCTCCTGGGCAGGTCTGAGGTCATGGCACCTCACTAACTCTGACCTGCTCCCTGGAGACTCCACTGCCATCTGTTCTGACACCTGGACCCAGGCTTTCTCCATTCCCCAAGGAGACCTGGGCCCTGCTGGAGGCTGGAGATGTGTGCTTTGGACCTCGGCAGCAACCAGAGGCACGGTAGCCCCAGGGTCCTATGCCGACTGGGCAATGTGTAGGAATGGGGTCAAACTGGAGAAGATGGGATGGTACCCAGGAAGCGGGCTGGAGCCCCAGTTCTGCCTCAGAATCCCCAGGCTCCTCGCTCCACCGCTGCCTGTTTAATCCCTGCTTTCTTGTCCCCTCCAGCTCCTCCTCTCCATTGCCTTGCAGGCTTCTGCTACCCGCTCCGCCTGGCCTCAGCGGGTAACGCCCTCTTCCCTCTGTCGTGGCCTCCCCAACCCCATTTTATTCACAGGTTTTCGTGTCCAGATCAGCTCTGTTTCCCAGCCCATTCCAGTGTCTGGAAGGCCACAGGTTCTGTGTCCAGGCTGGGTGTGGCTGTTGGTTCCTTGGGCATCTCCTGTCAGGGGCCCCGGGGCTTCCATGTCTATGCGAGATGTGGGACTATGCCTTTTCCCCCTCGTGAACTTGATCCAGGCCACCTCTGCTGCATCCCGGCCCCCTCCCACCCAGAGCCTGCTGTCACTGGATGGCCCTCACAGGATGGGCATTTTGTGACTTGCAGGTCCTCCGCGGCTGCTAACAGGACATGTTCTCTTGTTTCCAGGACAGATCGCTGCGACCAGAGGAGATTGAAGGTAAAACCTGGCCCCTGGGAGAAAAGGGCTGCCCAGCCCTCCAGGAAGGCGTGGGAGGGAGGACGGTGGGAAGCGCAGCAGAGGTCCCGGTGGCCTCTGGGAGCAGGGCCTGGTTCAGAGCAGGGCAGCGCCGGTGATGCAGCCCTGGAGCAGAGAGCAGGAGGCAGCTCAGTGCCCAGCTCTGCAAGCTGCTGGGTCCCAGGGTGGCCTTTGCCTCAAAAGGCTGTACGGTTCCCTGCCCCAACCACATTGCCCTTGTCCGCTGCCCCAGAGCTCCGAGAGGCCTTCAGGGAATTCGACAAGGACAAGGACGGCTACATCAACTGCCGGGACCTGGGCAACTGCATGCGCACCATGGGCTATATGCCCACCGAGATGGAGCTCATCGAGCTGTCGCAGCAGATCAACATGAACCGTGAGTCCCTCTGCTGGGCTTGCCCTTCCCTTCGGGCCCTTGCCCTTGCAGTCCTGGGCACTCAGACAGGTCTGGGGTCCAATTCTGCACCCACCTCTTTCCAGCTCTGTGGCCTGCTGCAAACCACTTACCCTCTCTGAGCCCAAGTTTCTTCATCTGTACAGTGAGGGCTGCAATGGAAGTGGAGCACAGGAAGTCAGTGAGAGCGTATGTGTGAAACAGCCCGATGCTGGGCTCACCGTGGCACTGAACGGAGGGATGGTATTGGTCTGGGTTCCCACCAAGCGAGCTGAGATAAAGCACTGGGAGGGAGTAGGGACCTGAAGCTGGGGAGAGGAGGAGCCCAAGCAGGGTGGACTGCAAGCCAGCTGCCACTGTGGGTGCCAGAGTCCAGTGCTGCCAGGGATCTCAGGAAGCTGGTATAGAGATGCCCACCTCCAAATTAAGTCCCCCAGGCCCCACCTCTCTGGCTGGTATTTATCTAGTTTTTAGCTGTGACAAAGTACCCAAGGCTACTTATGAAGAAAAGAGGTTTCTTGTGGTTCACAGTTCTAGAGGTGCCAAGGCTCACATGCAGTGACGGCCTTCTCCAGGAGTTCTTTTTTGTTTATTTATTTATTTATTTATTTATTGATAGGCAGAGTTAGTGAGAGAGAGAGAGAGAGAGAGGCAGAGAGAAACGTCTTCCTTTTTCCATTGGTTCACCCCCAAAGTGGCCGCTATGGCTGGCGCATTGTGGCCATAGAACCCGGGGTGCTGGTGCTGCAGGCGGAGGATTAGCCTAGTGAGCCGCAGCGCCGGCCTTTTTTAAAAAATATTTATTTACTTATTTGAAAGTCAGAGATATGCAGAAAGAAAGAGAGAGAGAGAGAGAGAGGTCTTCCATCTGATGGTTCACTCCCCAGTTGGCTGCAATGTCTGGAGCTGCGCCGATCCAAAGCCATGAACCAGGAGCTTCTTCCAGGTCTCCCACATGGGTGCAGGGGCCCAAGGACTTGGGCCACCTTGTACTGCTTTCCCAGGCCATAGCAGAGAGATGGATTGGAAGTGGCACAGCTGGGACTAGAACCGGTGCCCATGTGGATGCCAGCACTTCAGGCCAGGGTGTTAACCTGCTGTGTCATAGCGCCGGCCCCTCTCCAGGAGTTCTTTGGTGGCAGAGGGTCACATGGCAAGAGACAGGATGTGCATGTGCATCTGTGTCTGGTCTCTCTCCAGACTCTGCTTAGAAAACCACCAGGATTCAATCATGGGGCCTATTCTAATGACCTTAGTAATCCTGATCGCTTCCCAGAGGCTCTACCTCTAAACCCCAGGGTCAGATTAAGTTTCCACCCTCTTAATACCTCACTGTGGGGATTGAATCCAAACACACAAAGCCTTGGGAAACCCTCAAACTCTGTCCGAATGTAGCGCACACACACCACTACCTCCTGGCACTTGCTGCTTGAAAGCCTAATGAGCAGGCAGGGGGTACCATTTCTGCAGCCCTCCCACCTCCTGAGAAAGCCACTTGGAAACTGAGCTTCCATTGGCAAAAGACAGATAAGGATTGGGGCATACGAGCCCAGCACCCATGACTCCTGCTTCTTTGCCTTTCTGTGAGGGTGTCTCTGTCTTCCTATCCTAGTGATTCTTTGTCCCTGGGACCCACCTGTGTCTACCCCTACTACCCCCTGGTCTATTCCCTTTTTCAAATCATGACTACTCTTCAACCAGCCACCTGCCCATGGCCACCTCACCTGTCTGTCCTCATGTGGTCCTTGGCTGTATCCTGGACCTGGTGCTGAGCAGGTCATGGAGGGGCTGGCACTCCCCTCATTTGCCTAGTTGGAGATGGGGAGTGGGTGACCTAACCTTTTTCTCTTCCTCCAGTTGGTGGCCATGTAGATTTTGACGACTTTGTGGAGCTAATGGGGCCTAAACTCCTGGCAGAGACAGCAGATATGATTGGAGTAAAGGAACTACGAGACGCTTTCCGAGAGGTGAGGGATGGGCAGTGACAGGCAGGGAGTGGGTGGATTATCAGACTCCCTTCTCCAGAACGGCCTCTTGGAAAGAAGCCTAGGCCCTAAGTCCCGGAGCAGGGAGGCAGCTTGGACAGAGGAGGGTCTCTGGGGGTAGGGGCACAGCGACTCTGGAGAAGGAGCCCAGCCTGGATTTGCTGTTGCCATGGATCAGTCTCCATATTGTACCACCCTCTCCCTCCTTCCTGCCCTCTCTAGTTTGACACCAATGGTGATGGGGAGATAAGCACCAGTGAGTTGCGAGAAGCCATGAGGAAGCTCCTGGGTCATCAAGTGGGACACCGAGACATAGAAGAAATTATCCGAGATGTGGATCTCAATGGGGATGGACGAGTAGACTTTGAAGGTAGGAGGGGCTTGAGAGTGGGAGAGAAGCAATCCAATAGTGACCATCCACAGGGTCCTCCAACTATGAGTCCTTCATGCAATCATTAGCCCAACCCAAATTTCCATTCTTCTATTCTTCCAATCTTCTGATCATCTAATCCCATCTGATCACATCCATCTATGCATGCATCCGGCCATCCCCATGTCCACCCACTCACGCGTCCATTCATGATAGCTATTTTCTGAAACCACATTCCTCAGCCTGACACACAGGCCCTGAACATGTGACCACAGCTTGTATCCCCAGCCACAGCATCTACCGTTCCACCACTCAGTCTCCACCAAGATAATTGCAGTCCATGAACCTGTTAGATGTTATTAAACATATTTATTTTATTGACTTGAGCAGAAAGAGTGCGGAATGGAGGGAGGGAGAGAGATAAAGAAAGGCAAACAGAGAGAATCCTCATCTACCTCTCTTCTCCCTATTCAAATGCCTACAACTGCTGGGGATGGATCAAGCCAAAGCTGGGACCTGGGAACTTGGTCTAGGTCTCCCACATGAGTGGCAGGAACCCAAGTACTTGGGCCATCACTCGCTACCTCCCAGGGTGTGCATTAGCAGGAAGCTCAAATCTGGGATGGAACCAGGACTTGAACCCAGGCGCTCCAATAGGGGGTGAGATACAAGTACCTTAGCCACTGGGCCAGAGGCCCATAGCTGCAAGCGTGCTTTTTTATTGTATTCTTCACTTGGGCTCAAGTCTTTTTCTTTTTTAAGGAAAAATGTGTTTTTAAAAAGTGTATTAGAAAGAGAACTCCCATCTAGTAGCTCACTCCCCAGATGCCCACAGTGTCTGCCAGCTTAGACCAAAGCCGGGAGCTGGGAACTCAGTTCAGGTCTTCCACAGGGACCCAACTACTTGAACCCTCACAGCTGCCTCTCAGGGTCAACATTAACGGGAAGCTGGAGTCAGGATCCTGAGCAGGGTGTTGAACCCAGGCACGGCAGTGTGGGACCTGGACGCCTTAGCACCAGGCTAAATGCCCGCCCCAAGATAAATTGTGTTCATCCTTCAAGACCCAGCACTGGGACCTCTTCTTCCAGCTTTGCTTTTCTGGTTCCTTAAACTGAACCTCCTTCTGGGGGTGGGGAGTGCTTTCACAGCAGCTCAGGTTCACCCCCACTCCTCACACTGGCCCCCAAGTGCTGGTTATCGTTTTCCTCCCTGAAGGGAACCCCATTTTCCTTGTCTCTGCCTTTCCTAATACTAACTACCCGACACATAGTTAATGCCTAATGAAAGCTTTATGGTGGAACCAGTGATAATCACAATTGTTGCTGTTGCTTGTCTGCTTATGTACCGGTCAGTGTGCACCTCACCTATGTTATCTCATTCAATTCTCTCAGCCCCATGGATGGCACTATTAGTTCATACAGATGAGGGAACTGAGACTCAAGACTGCCTCTTAAGAGGCAGAGCTGGGGCCCAAACTGTTTAGGGCAGAATGGAGGACAGGCAAAAGTAAAATGTTGACCCCACACACCAGGAACTCACACTCTGAACTGAAAGACAAGAAAATGCGTGCCCACCTGTGAGTGGGTCTGGAACCCAAAGGTTGGGAGTTGGCCTCCACAGGATGGAGACTGGTGGATGGAGAGAATATCTGGATGTCTCAGGCGCCCTCTGTCCAGGTAGCACCACCATCTGGTGGCCCTTCCCTAAAAGCCCAGAATCCCCTGTGCATTCTACCAAGAAGTGTCCTACACCTGCAGTGTGTTGACACCTGACCTCTGCCTTGAGGTGCCCAGAAAACACTGCAGGCTGTGCTATGTTGTGAGGTGCAGTAGGGGGTACCTTTGCCAAGCTGAGGGGAGTGGTTCAGGCAGACTTCCTGGAGCAGGCTGGAAGGGGAGGCCTGAGCGGTAAATAGGAGTCAGCAGGTGAAACAGAAGGGAGCAGTGTTGACCTGGATGAGTTGAAAAAAACCTGGACACAGATTTTTTTTTACAATGTATTTATTTATTGCAAAGACAGAGTTACACAGATAGAAAGAGAGACAAAGAGAGATCTTCCATCTGCTCACTTACTCCCCAAATGGTCGCAACAGCTAGGGCTGGGCCAGGCCATAGCCAGGAGCCAAGAGTTTCTTCCAAGTCTTCCACATGGGTACAGGAGCCCAGGGAGGTAGGCCATCTTCTGCTGCTTTCCTAGGTGTATTAGCTGGGGGGAACTAGATCAGAAGTGGAGCAGCCAGGACTCAACCAGCCCCCATAAGGAATGCCAGCACTGCAGGCCATGGTTTAACCCATTGTGCCACAGCGCCAGCCCCTGGCCACAGATGTTTATAGCAGCTTTATTCTTACATCATTACCCAAACTTGACTCTACCATGGGGCCCTTCAATAGGTGAATGGATAAGTCCTCGGCAGTCTACCTACGGCCTAGGGCATTACTCAGCCCTAAACAGAGAGCAGCTTTGAAGCCGTGAAAAGGCAGGGAGGAACCTTGAATACACACCGCTAAGTGATTGTATTCCGAAAAGGCTCCATACTGTAGGGCTCCAGAGCTCTGACCTTCTGGGAAAGCAGAAGTGTGGAGACTCTGAGACTGTCACTGGTTTCCAGGGCCCAGGGCAGGTAAGGATGACTGGGGGGAGCACAGGATTTTTAGGGCAGTGAAACCGTCCCCTGGGACTCTCTCATGGTGGATAGATGTCAGGATGCACCTGTCCTGCGCTGTAGTCTATGCACCAAGAGTGAACACAACGTGAACTGGGGGCTGGGTGACAATGCTGTGTGTCCTGTAGCTTCGTCAGTTGTAGCGGAGGCACCGCTCTGGCAGAGGTTGTTGGTGGCGGAGGCTGTGCACGTGTTGAGAAAGCATATATGGGAAGAGTCTGCACCTTCTGCTCAGTTTTGCTGCGAACCTGGAACTGCTCTAGAAACATAAAGTCTAGGAAAGAAAAGGGAGGGGATTAGGTTGCAGGAGTGCTAAGTTTGGGGGAGGAGAGAGAAATAGAGCGAGCTGCACTTGAGGTGCTGAGAAGGAGATCCACGAGGTTGGAGCACAGAGATGGGGTGAGCTTGAAAGGTGTGGCTGATTTGTCAGTGGGGCCAGATCAGGGAGGGTCCTGGGGTCACATCAGGACTTGGGGTCACAACAGGGGGTTTAAGCAGGAGTCTGATTGGCTGGCTCCTGTGAGGATGGGTTGGGAGAGGGGCTTGGAGGCAGCATCCTGGGCTGGCCCCTGACTGCTGCTTTCTCCCCGCCCACTCCTGTCTCCTCCCAGAGTTTGTCCGGATGATGTCTCGCTGAGGCTGTGAGGGCCCCTCCAGGATTGCCAAGCTCCCACAGGTGGGGAGGAGAGGAGCCGGAGCACGCCTCACCCCACCGTAGCTGCCGAGAGCCCGGGATGAACTCGCGGACGGGGCCTGCCTGCACCCCGGGGAGGTGCCCACCCCAGACCCCCACCCCTCCGCACTGTGAAAGACTCACAACTCCTGCAACTGGAAAGGGGGGGCGCCCACCGAGGAGGAGGCCACAGTGCCAAGCCAGCAGAGTCGTGCCAGGCGCCAAGTGCCATGTGCCCGGCCGTGGCCGGCTGGGTGGGCCAGGGAGCCCGCCGCGCAGCAGGCCCCACACAGCATGTCTGCCTGGGCAGAGCCTCTGGCTGCCCTCCTCAGCTCTGTGCCCGTCCCAGCTCGCCTCAGAACTAATAAAGTATTTCCAAGAGAAAGACAGCTGGGGTGGTCTGTTTCTTGGGCCTGGTTAGGCTAGGCACACATGCCCTGAGCACCAGCTCCGTGCCCCAAAGCACCTGAACACGCCTGCATTCAGCTTGCATTCACGGACTGCTTGTTCGATACCCAGCGGCTTCCGGTCTCATGGCATCGGCTGGTACCTCCAACTGAAAGGGAGACGAAGAAAGTAGTTGTCTAGCCAAGGATGCGGCTGCCCCCCACGCAGTCGGGCTCTCTAAGAAGCGGACAGTGGCTGTGGGGTAAGTGTCCAGAGAGGTCTGCACCACTTCCTGCCCCCGGAAGTTTTTGTGCTGTCAGGGAGACAGACACATCTGTGTGTGTGACGACAAACTGTGACCCTGCTGTTAAAGAAACACAGGAACCTGCGGCAGGCATGACAGGGAGGCCCGGCCTATTCTGGGAGGCAGGGGGCAAGGAGGGCTCTCTTGAGGAAATGAGGAGGGTTTGGCCCTGGAGGAAATCCCAGTGTGTGAGAGGAGACAGGTGTAGAAACAGCTGCCATCCTCCCTCCCGTGGGGGAAGCAGGATGGAGGGGTTCAGTTAGGCCCCAGGCCCTAGTGTTTGACCTTGGGCCAGTCATGTTCTGTCTCTGAACCTCAGCTTTCTAACAGGTAGTATTGGGAGAGAAGGAATGATGGGATCAGTGCTCTCCGTGTTGATAACGGAGCTGTCAGTCACAGACTGCAGTGGAATTGTGCAGTGGAGCGACATGGAGCAGCTTCATTATTGCTGCAATTGATTCCTGTTAGAGAAGGGTTGCGGGAACACAGAGGAGAGGTTGTGGGGCATAGCTGAGCAGGCGCGCAGGGTGGCCCACGTACTCCAAGCCACCAGTGCTCTCCTTTAGAGCAGGTAAGAATCCCCTGGGTAATTTGTGAAGCCACACACCCCAGCGGTTCTGATTCTGCATTTAGGATGGGGTCTGCACATTTGCATCTTTCTCAGCCCAGAGAATGCTGTTCTGCCGGCGTGGGCCGCTGTCTGAATCACCCCAGGCTCCTGGGAGGCAGGTGTGCTTCAGGCATGGGGAGAGGCTGTGGCACTAAAGACTGGATGGGGCTGGGAGGGGAGGTGGAGCATGCCCTGCCCCCTCTGCTGTGACGGGGGAGGATCCTTATTCTCAGGCCAGGCAGAGAGTGTGGGCCGCAGCCAGAAGCCAGGGTAATCCCCATGTCTCTGAGGCCAGCGAGGCTGGGAGCTCCAGATTCACTCTAATAATCCAATTCTGAGACTAAGCCCTTGGCTCTGTGCCCTGCTGGGCAGGCCTGCAGACCTGTCTGCCCCCATGCCAGCTTAGTTCTGCCCGGATAGCCCACATCCACGCCGCTTCAGGGATGTGATGGCCTAGGAGGACAGATTGCAGAGAGAGGGCCCCCGTGGACATCCCCGTCAGCTAGCAGGGGAGGCCTGGGGGCACCACAGGGAGAGGGGAGAGGACGAGGAGACAAGGACACCTCTGTCTCTGGTGTGTGGCCTCCTAAAGTCACAGACACAGCAGAACCTTAATGCTCAGGGCACAGGGCAGCCCAAAGGCTGGGCCTCTGCCTCCTTGGACACCAAAACTGGAATGTCTCCTCTTGAACTTGACTTGTGTTCCGAGGTTTCCTAGTACTTACTTGAAGGAAAAGTTCTACGACTTTTCAAGAACTGCGGTGCTCTTTCCTAAGAGGGAATTCTTTCTGCCGCCTGCACTGCTGCCCTAGGACAGGTGTCTGGCCTCGCGGTAGCAATACCTTTTGCCAAGATGCCTGCATCCTGCATCGCAGTATCCGGGTTTGATACCTGCCTGTGGCTTCCTGCCAATGTGCATCCTGGGAGGCAGTAATGGCTGAAGCACTTGGGTTCCTGCCACCCATGTAGGAAACCTGGATTGAGTTCCGAGCTCCCAGCCGTGGCCCCAGCCAGGGGCCACTGTGGGCACATGAGGAGTGAACAAATGGATGGGAGCTTGCTCGCTCTCTTGCTCTCCCCGGCTCATCAATTAATTAATTAAAAATAGTAATACTGGTGGAGCTGCATGTGTGTCATCTTCGGAGAGCTCTCATTGCCTGTAAGGCCTTAAACGGAACCCGCGTTTGCCTCTCCGGGACTGACTGAGTCTGATTTGTGCATTCACTCATGCACACACTCAGCTGTTATTTACTGAGCTCCTCCTGTGTGCCAGGCCCTGTGCCAGCGTCCCTATCCTCACTGAGCTCAGATCCTAGGAGGGGAACTAGATCAGAGAACAGTCGGTGTAAGGGAGGGGCTGACCGGGTGAGCCTGGGCACGGTTAGGGTACCTGAGGAAGGGGTAGATGTGCTAGTTCCTGAAGGATGAGCAGTGCCCGGTAAGAGATGAGGGCAGGGAGCGTTTCTGCTGGAGGGAACAGCAAGTGCAAAGGCCCGGAAGTAAGGGGGAGCACCTTTGGGTGCTGATTAGAGGGAGGAGCACAGAGAAGTAACTCATAGGGAGGCAGAGCCTGACCCCACGACAGACCTTGGCATGTGGAGAGGGTCAGGTGGGACCTCTTAGGAGCTGCCACCTTAGGTGAGCCGGGCCCTGGGGCACAGAAACCCTGGTGCCTATGGCGGACTCGCCTTGGTGACAGATCTATCCAGGAGGTAGAATAGGACAGGATGGCCGAGGGCAGCCAGGAAAGCATCCCTCAAGAACATGAGCTCGGATCATAAAACCAAAAACTAGACGTCCAGTGTCCCTGGGGGAGGAATGGGCTGCCACTAGGGTCTTGCCATAGGATCACATTTGAGTCTGATCGCACCTGGAGCCCCAGCAGGTGGTTTGCTGGAAATTCTAGGGCAGAGGAGTGTGTTGAGCTTAGCAAATGCATGTTATCAGCACAGTCCAGGCTGGGCGATGCTGCAGGCCACAGCTCCCTAAACGCCTGCAACAGCCAGGGCTGAGTCAGGCCAAAGCCAGGAACTCCATACGGATCTCCCGTATAAGTGCTGGGGCCCACGTAACTGGGCCATCTTCCACTGCTTTCCCAGGCATATTAACAGGAAGCTGGATCAGAAGTGGAGCAGCCAGGATTGGAACTGGCACTCCAATATGAACCTGCTGCACCACGATGCCAGCTCCTAAACAACAAAAACTTTTTTTTAAATTATTTATTTATTTGAAAGACGAAGTTATAGACAGGGAGAGGCATAGGCAGAGAGAGAGAAGTCTTCCATTCGCTGGTTCACCCCACAAATGGCTGCAACAGCCAGGGCTGGGCCAGACTGAAGCGAGGAGCCAGGAGCTTCCTCTGGGTCTCCCACGTGGGTGCAGGGACCCAAGCACTTGGGCCATCTTCCACTGCTGTCTCTGGTGCAGTAGCAGGGAGTTGGATGGCAACAAAAACATTTTTAAAATTTATTAGAGAAACAGCTCCTATCCACTGGTTTACTCCCTGCAAATGCCTGCAACAGCCAGAGCTGGGCCTGGCTGGGAGCTGGGAATTCAGTATGGGTGGGAGGGACCTGAGCCATCACCTGAGCCGTCACCTGCTGCCTCTGAGGGCATGCATTAGCAGGAAGCTGGAGTCAGGAGTGAAACTGGGCCTGGATTTGGGATGCAGATGTCCTCACGGAGTCTTAGCTGCTGCACCAAATACCCGTCCCTAAAAGCTCTTCATCCATCCTCCCACTCCATCTTTGCAACCTCCTCCTTTTCCTGATGTGAAAACTCAGATTCGGTAATGGGATATGACTTACCAAACTTAATGGTAGAGACCGAGGCGCTCCCTGTGTTCCTACGTCCAGCAAACCGACCTTAACACAGGGAAAAGAGTCTGAGAGATGATGGTAAAAAAAAAAAAAAAAAAAAAAAAAGAATGAATGTGTATGGGAGGCTTAGGGTGCCTTGTCAGTCACTCTCCCGAAGTTGCTTTACACGTCCTCATTCCCAGCCCCAGGAGACAAAGGGTCCCCATCCCCTCGTTCACAGGTGAAGAGTCTGAGGGCTAGAAGGGAAGTGACCCAGCCTGGACATCTGGCACAGTGCTTAAGATGCAGCCCGGGACACTCACGTCCCACACCCTCGAGCCCGGGTTCCAGTCCCGGCTCTGCTCTCCATGCCAGCCTCCTGCTAATGCTCACCCGCGAGGCAACAGTGATGGCTCAAGCAGTTGGGCCCCAGCTCCTGGCTTCCACCTGGCCCAGCCCTGGCTGCTGTGGGCATCTGGGGAGTGAACCAGCAGATGGGAGATCTATCTCTGTCTTCCTGTCTTTCCAATAAACAAAAGTAAGTTAAAATTTAAAAACAAAACAAAACAAAAAGACAACAAGGGAAGTGACCTGCCCAGAGCACCTTGTTGGGAAGGCGCTGGCTTTTTCTGTCTCCCTCTCGCCCTGGCTGGCTTCTGCGCTGTGACTCACATCCTCCTGGGGAAGCAAAGACTCGCCAAGTCCATTCTCCCTCCCATGGAGCTGGAGACCTGGCCGGGTTTCTGGGGTCTCGTTGCTCGCTGGAGACCAGCACTGTGAGACTCTGTTCGCTGGCTCCCTGCCTCTCGGGGTGACCCTGGTCCCCTGGGGTCTAAGGAGCAGAGACTCCAGGCCAAGGAATCTTGGCACAGTGCGCAGCCCACCCACCTCAGGGTCCTGGGGCAGCGAGGCTGGCCAAGGAGAAGGCCACGCTGGCCCCCACCCCTTCTCTGTGTTTACCTTTTGAACTTGTATTGTGAGCTTATCCCAAAGGGGGGATGGAAATAACTCATAAACTTAAAATAGGTAAGACTTAATTAATAGCCAGCTTTGTTCTTCTGATCCTTATCTGTACAGGAAGACACACCTCTTTTCAGTTTGGTGGGTCAAGGTGAAGTGCCTCTGGGGGCCCATAGGCGGCTGCCGCATCTTCCGATTTTGAACTCTGGTCCCCGTCAACTGTTCCCCGCCCCCGGTGGAAGGGTTTTTCCCCACTCCTCACCCTAAGCCCGTTACCAGGCCTTGTCTAGTAGTCAGGTTGCCAGCATTACGTGTCAGGCCATGACTC